TTTAGAAGTTTTTCACACAGACTTTCAATCTTATTTGGTTGAAAAGGGAATTTTGCATTAATACCGTTGTGTATATACCCAATACCAAAATGGGGTTGTTGAGTGCAAACATAAACATATTCTAGAGGTAGCATGTGCCCTTTGTTTCTAGGCAAATCTGCCATCTAAAGTTTGGGGGGAATGTGTCCTTATAGATGTTTATCTAATTAATAGGTTGCCCTCTCCAATTCTTCAAAACAAAAGTCCATATGATAAGCTATATCAATCTCCTCCTCATTATAAACACTTGAAAGTCTTCAGTTGCTTATGTTTTGCTCATAACATTCATCCCAGAAATAATCCACACATTATGTCTTCCACTACGTCACCACCATTAGACACATTATCCCCACATAATCCTACTCCTAATTTGCTTGTTTCCTTGTTTACAAATAGTCCACCTCTTGTTCTACCACCATGTTCAACCAAAGCATGCCATCCTCAAAAATATTTGGAAAATTGTAAGTGTTCAGTTGCCTTTCAACTGGTTACTTTGTTGCTTTCTAAGTCAACAGGTGTCAAATTTCTTATTTCTCATTTATTTTTATAATAAATTATTGGTTGAATACCCTTTTTGGTTCCTTTGCTATAAGAAAAAGCCCTTTTTAGTTTCTATACTAAAAAAATTTCCTTTTTGGTCCTTAAAGTTTAAAATATGGCTCGTTTTTAGTCCCTCCGTTAAGTTTTGACTAATATAGCAAGTTAATTAATAGGAAAACTTTTTTTTTTCTTTACTTAAATTATGTGGAAAATCCATTTGGCAAAAATTGATGACATAGCCAAATTTTTGGTCTAATATATCCTTAAAAATCATTTAATTACATAATTGCCATTATAAATATTTTAAAGGTTATTTTGTGATTAGAGGTACTTGACTTTAATTACTAATTTGCCCCTTTCTTCTTCCACCTTCTATCTTATCCTCTCCTCCCTCTGGCCTTCATTCTTTTTTTTTTTTTTTTTTTTTAACCTTTGCCTTTTGGAAATTAGATTTGGAAAGGCAAACCTAGGTGCTTGGGTTCGCAGGGAACCCAGGGGCTTGGGTTTGTGAGGAACCTATGGGCCTGGGTTCTAGACACCCAAGCATAGGGTTTGTTGCGAACCTAGGAGGAACCTAAGCCCTTAGGTTCCTTGTGAACCCAACACCTGGGTTTGTTGGGTTCATCACAAACCCAGGTGTCAGGTTCCAGGCGTTAGGTTCTTGGTGAACCTAGGTGCCTAGGTTCCTTGCATATTGATGTGTTGCTATCACTGGGTTTGTCGTGAACCCAAGAACCCAACACTAACCCAGTCGCCTTGGTTCCACACGTGTTGTTGTGATGCTATCACTGGGTTCATCGCGAACCCAAGCCCTTGGATTCCTCGTGAACCCAAGTGCCTGGGTTCCTCATGGTGTTGCTATTATTTTTTTGTTTAGATTTTTTATTATGTGAAATTTTTTGCAAAACCCAAATTTGTATTGTTGTGTTGCTATCATTTTTTGTTTAGATCTTTAATTATATGAAATTGTTGATCTGGTATTTGTTTTGTCTTGATTTGGAATGTTTGCATGGGAAAAGATTGAATGATGAACAAGGAAGTTTAAGGTCAATTTTGAAATTCTAGTTTTTATAAATTACATGTTATGTTTAATGTCTATGTGGGATGCCACATCATCATTTTTTATTTTTCTATTTTCCATGTCATTTATATAAAAAAAATTAGACATTTTTTGTTAATTAACCTGTTACATCAGCCAAAACTTAATGGAGGGACTAACAAGGGATCAAATTTTAAATTTTAAGGACAAAAAAGGGATTTTTTCAGTATAAGTACTAAAAATGGAGCTTTTTCCTATAGTAGAGGGACCAAAAAGGGTATTTAACCTAAATTATCCACCACCCATAAAGCCTTTTTAACTTCCATTTCTTCAATTAATGAACCATCTAGTTATTCTCAGGCAGTGTAAGATTCCAATTGGAAGGAGGCTATGGTTGTTGAGTTAAAGGCTTTAGAGGATAATAAAACATGGGTGCTTACAGATTTACCACATGGATAGAAGGCAATTGGATGCAAATGGGTTTATAAAATTAAATATAAGTCTGATGGTTTTATTGAATGCTACACAGCGTGCCTCGTCGCTAAAGGCTATACTCAATGAGAGGGGCTTGATTATCATGACACTTTTGCTTCAGTTGCAATTTGCTTCAGTTGCAATTTGCTATTGTTGCACAAAAGGGTTGGGAACTGAATCAATTGGATGTTAACAATGCTTTTCTTCATGGTGATTTACATGAGGAGATTTATATGAAATTGCCACCAGGATTAATAGCTCAGGGGGAGCATCGAGTCTATCGTTTAATGAAATCCTTGTATGGCTTAAAGCAAGCTTCCCAACAATGGTTTGCTAAGCTATCTTCTACTCTTCTTGAAGCTGGGTTTATTCAATCTCATGTTGATTACTTTTGGTTTATACATCGAACTACTCACCATCAAACTTATGTCTTGGTTTATGTTGACAACATTATTGTTACAAGGGATAATTTGGATGCAATTTCTAAGCTCAAGCAATATTTACACAACAAATTTCATCTTAAGGATCTTGGGGTTCTTAAGTATTTTGTTAGTCTTGAAGTTGCACACTCTACTAAAGGTATTTTTCTTAATCAAAGGAAATATGCTCTTGAGTTACTTGAAGATTATAGTGTTTTGGGGGCAAAACCATCTGATTTTCTTACGGAGCAAAACTTGAAGTTGAATGATTCTAATGATGCTTTGTTGAATAATCCTCTCAATATCAAAGACTTGTTCAAAGATTGCTTTATCTTACTATTACTCATCCTAACAAAACTTATTCTATCAATATGCTGAGTCAATTCATGCATCAACCAAGAGAGCCTCATTTGCATGCTGCACATCATGTTCTCTGCTATATTAAATCAACAACTGGACAAGGTATTTTTCTTCCTTCCAAAGGCAGTTTTCATCTCACTTGTTACTATGATTTAGATTGGGCTAGTGTCTAACTACCCATCATTTTACTTTTAGGTTTCGCATTTTTCTCGGTAGTAGTCTTATTTCATGGTGGACAAAAAAGCAACATGCTATTTCTCAGTCTTCTGCTAAGGTTGAGTACCATTCAATGGCTACTGCCACTTGTGAGCTTACTTGGCTTCATTATTTGCTTACTGATCTTGGAGTTAAGCATCCTTAACCAACCACCCTTTATTGTAACAATCAAATTGCCTTGCTTAATGCTGCTAACCCTATTGATCATGAAAGGACTAAACACATCGAAATTAATTGTCATCTCATTCAGGAGAAAATTCAAGTGGCCAACTTTGCACTGCTTATGTTTCTACCTTACACCAACTTGTGGATGTCTTAATGAAAGCACTTGGATGTGATCAATTTCAATGTCATATCTGCGAGTTGGGCATGCTTAACCTCATGGCATCGACTTGAGGGGGAGTATTGAGTTTTGAAAGTTCAATTTTGAATTTCTCCATCATTATCTCTTTTTGTTATTCAAATATTTTACAAGTTTGTCAAATCCTTTTCTATAATTTGTAAATATATTTTAAATATGTATCTTGCTTGTATCCCACTACACATGAGAAGTTTGTTGTATTTCTCTCTCTCTATATATATATATATATTTTAATGGAAAGCACAACTCAAGTCGTTGAGTTCTTACTCAATTTCTAGGACTAATGAATATTACTTTTTTGTGTTTATTTCATTTAAAAGGATTGGATAGAACTCTTTTTATCTCAAATTCAATAAAATTTTAGAAGAATAACAATATAACTGACTTGAAAAACGATGTATAAGGAATTTAAGTATTAAATCAAAATTAATTTTGATTACATTTTATTACATAATTATATCCAATATAATTACTTATAATTTCTAATACTACAAGAGGTAAGATAAAAGATAAAAGTAAGATAATCACGTCCTAACTAAAAAAGATAAGCACATTAAAAAACTTTTAGTAGAAAAATTAAACAAAAAAACAAAAATCCATTTACCATAAGCAACATAAAAAAGGGATGAGGATGCACATGAATGATATCAATAATTTTAAAATATTATTATTTTTTAGACTTTTGGTAAGTACATACAAAAAAATATTATCATTTTTACAATAAAGTTGAGTTCATTTATATTTTTATATAAAATTAAAATTAAAAATTGAAATTCTTTTTCATACTCCACTTTAAGAATTTATATTTTTCTAATATAAAAAGAATTCATTTTTATCAAATTAAAGGTCTATTTGGTTTAACTTGTGAGAACTTTTACTTTTTGAGTACTGTTATGAGTGATAAGTTTAAATTTTTATTGGAGGAAAAATTTAAAAGTTGCTTTTAAAGATTGAAAAAAGTGAGTGAAAAGTGAATGAGAAGTGAGTAAAAAAGAAATTTATAAAACATTTGGATTTGAAGCTTTTGAGTTTTTACTATTTGAGATCTTTTTAAAGTAAAAAAAAATTTAAAAATATAAGTTTTTAAGAGGAAAATTTAAACTTATGAAATATAAATAGTATAAAAAAAAATTGAAACTCCTAGAAGTTCAGCCAAAATGCTCTAAGAGTTTGTGCTTAAGATCATAATTCTAATTTTTTTTAATGGTTTTTAGTTTGAATTGTATAATAGAAGGCTATTATTTTTCATCCATAAGTTTATCTCACCTTACTAGTAGTTTTAGGTCGAGAGGAATGGAAAGGAGAGTATAGAAAAAAAAAAAAAAATCTTTATTTGGTTATCAAAAAAATTAGAGAGGAGTGGAAAAATTTCCTTTACTTTATTATTATTTTTTAATTTAGTTATTTATTCAAAATAAGCGAAGGGAGGGGAGGGGAATGAAATTTCCCTCTCCTCCCTTCCTCTCCATCCATTTCCCTCAACCCAAACATAAGGTACATGTCATGCAACTTAAACTCAAATAATTATACTTTCTTCAAAAGAAAATTACCATTAAAGTGACAAGTTTTAATTCACATTTGAATTATCAATTTAACATTTAGAGTTAAACTCAAATAATGTTGAATGAGAATTCATCTCACCAACGAATTGATATAATCCTCGTAAATTAATTATGGATGCTAATAAGTTCCTTTTATGACCACATGTTGTCACGCCTTAAAACCCAAATCCGAGGATGTGGCAGACGTCGTACCCTTGTGAGACGGGTCCCACAAGTGCACAAGGTTCGGAACTTGTTCAAATCACAAAATCTCAAGAATAAAATCTACTTTGCAAAAGGATGATAAAATCTAAAACTTATATCCAATTAGAATGGCTAGCCTTCTACCTTGTCTTCTACCTTGTCACTTCCCTCGATTTTTCCGTCCTCGGTTTCGCTTCCTGAAATGGTGGACAAGGAAAACCATGAGATAAATATCTCAGTAAGTAAAAATATGAATAGCCCTTGGTAAAAATTTAAGCATGCCAAATAAACCATGTAAGCATACCAGAACTTTCAATGCTAAACCGTTAATGAAGAATCAAATTCAGATTAATAGCAAAGCGTTCAATGACAAACCGTTAATGCAAAAAAAAATTCAGTAGTCTCATCTATAAGTCATGGTCAGTGTTTAACAAACTCCCACTGGCAGGCGTCAGTAGTGGTACTAGTGTTTAACAACTCCCACTGGCAGGCGTCAGTAATAACCAATGTTTAACCCCATTGGCAGAGTTACAGAAGTACCAGTGTTTAACAAACTCCCACTGGCAGACGTCAGTAATGGTACCAGTGTTTAACAAACTCCCACTAGCATGCGTCAGTAATTACCAATGTATTATCCCATTGGCAGGATTACAGAATGGACCGGTCATATCAGTAAACATGTCGACATGTGCCAGCGTTTGCAAACTCCCACTGGCGGGCGTCAGTAATCATGACTATATCAAAGACAAAACTATGTAGGACTTACAGAAAATCCGTAATTCACAATCAATCCCAAAATTTCAGAGATAAACCGAAAAATTTCCATATGAGCATGGATTTAACAGAAAAACTTAAAATTTACAAAATTCTCAGTTCATCAAAGCAGTTCAGTCAATTCCAAAATAGGCATGCTCTATTCCAAAAAAAACAATGAAATTCTCATTTTCATTCCAATCATGCTCAATTCCAGAAAATAATGAAATTCTCATTTTCATTCCAATCATGCTCAATTCCAGAAAATAATAATTTTCACAAAAATCATCACAATTTTTATTTAAGTTTAATATGCTAATAAAATCAATTTAAACCTTGCCACCATCTCAAAAACAGTTTAAAATATGCTTTAAAATCAAAGGGCTTTATCATAAATTTACTTATCTCACTCGCATAAAACCGAAGACTCAATACACGCACTAAAGTGATCGAAGGATCCAGAACCTAACCAAATATTCAAGAATTAATACACATATGAATCCACATATTTACTCCTTTCTAATATTGCCGGTAATTAACCCCCATAACGCGACATTTATTTCTTTACTTATTTATTTATTTTCTTCAAAATTGGGCATCACAACCGGATTGTGTATATATATACACAATTACACACACACACACATATATATATATATACATACAACACCCATGCATATGGCTTCCAACTCCCGGGATAGAAAAATGGAGAAAATGGCTTGGCAAAACCACACTCACACACGGGATTTCTCTCCAGAAATCACAGCAGCCAAATCAAGCTAAATTCTACATAATCAAGCTTAAAACACATTTAATTTACTGCCAATTCTTCCCCTGTTTCGACAGAAAATTCGGACAAGAAGGCAGTAGCTACATGTATAAATTTCAACTACTAAATGAGTAAAATTCAGCCTTGGAGAAGCTAGCACATACCAGAATTCCTTCTCTTTTTTTTTCGGCCAGCAGAACCCGCACCAGGCGAGCATGGGGGCTGACGGAATTGCAGGGGGGATGCTCACGGCTTTACCAGAAATTGGAAGGGAATAAAAGCAATTAAAGTAAACCCAACCTAAATCAAGGTTAAAGAGAGGGATTCATGGCTAAATCTTACCAGAAAAAGCCCAAAAATCTCACACCCACATAGCAGCCGGCGGACAAGAAGAAGAAAACAATGCAGATCTGGAAAATTTCTGGGTTTTGGAAAGTGTTCTAAGTCCCAAATCTTGTTACTTATCAAGAAAAGAAGGAGAAAATCCCAAGCTTGGTCACCAATTTTCTCAAGAAATGAGTCGGTGGCTGGAGGGCTTGGGGGGGGCCTGTCGGGAGAAGAAAAAGAGGAGCAGAAAGACGCGGGTCTGATGAGGAAGAAAAGAAAGAAAGAAAAAAAAAAAGAAAAAGGAAAGCAGCTGATTCTTATCCTAATTTGTTTTCTTTTAAGTCCCTGAACTTTGAAAATTTTTATTATTAAGGCCATTAATAATATTTCCTCACAAATTAGTCCCCAACTCAACTTTAATATTTTAAAAATTTTGGGGTATTACACATGTATAGAAATATATTTATATAGAAATTGATATAGATACCCTCTAATTCAACACATTTATTAAAAAATTACTATTTTTTTTTTATCTAAAATTAAAGATAAAAAACTTAAAGATATAAGAATGCATATGATATGCAGGAACTAGTTGAATTGACTACACGTATATCATATTTTAATAACTAAATCAGTTAGATATTGACATATATGTTGAACCAAAATGTATCTAAGTCATTTTCCTATTTATATATCCCTCTTGGTTCACAAGAAATTTTTTTTTTCTAAATATCCCTCTCTATCCCCTATAGAGACATTAAGATAGGATACAAGTATTGTAGTTTTTGCTTAATTTAGGTGGTCTATATTTACCATTATCTTAGATTTTTTTTTTTTTTAGTGGTAGTTGTAGTATGGAGTTAGGTGATGGAAAGTTTATGGTGGTTTGGAGGATATATGGATTGAAGGGGTTTTAGTGATGAAAAAATTACTCCCAATTGGTGATTTTATTTGGTTTAGATCTAATGCATAATCATTAAATATAATATTCGTTTTGAATAAAAATTTATCATAAATAATATTTAATATTTGTGACTAATAATTTGTGATTACAATTACTTATTTTACAATAATGATTTTTATTGTCATAAGCCTATATTATATATGTGATTGTTTTCAATAACAAAATATATTTTTACTTACAAGATTTATTTTATCAATGTTAAACATGTGGGTATCTATGACTAATATTTGTAATATGTTGTAGTGACAACCTTCATTGTCAAAAGCCTATATTCTTTTTATGATTTCAATGACGAAATACAATTTTAGTAATGATTTATTGTCATTATTGAAAATGTAGATATTTATGACTAATATTTAAAATCTATCACAATATGATGAGTTGTAATAATGATTTTCATTGCCACAAGTCTGCATTGCCACAAGTCTGCATTCTCTCTATAACTGTTTTTCAATGACAAAATATCTCTTTAGTGACTAATTTTCTTCATCATCATTGGATATGTGCATATCCATAACTAATTTTTAAAATCTATCGCAATTATGATGAAATATGGTGATGGCTTCAAAATTCATCATAAATTTTCATTACTAAAAACTCTTTTTCTTATGGTGGATTCTCGTGGGGATTTTTAACAGAAGGTAAAAAATGCCTTTTATCCCCATCTTCATGGGGAATGGTAAGTTCCCATGGGTACGTGGATTCCTTGCCAAATATTAAAATTGTAGAATTTAATCTTATTTTTTTAATATATAAATTTTACAACATTATATAAAGAGTAATTTAAAAGATATAAAAATAAAAACTTGCAGACGTGACAAGCATGCAAAAAATTTCACAAACACCATAAAAAAGTACTATATCAAGAAATAAAAAAGAGAGTAGAAATTTGAAATAAACAAATATATACAACAGGTCAACAAATGCATATAGTCCAACAAATTCATAAAAAGCAATATAAAGAGGGTAGACATTTGAAACAAATTGGGTTTTATGTTTTTATAAATATAATATAATTTGTAAAAATATAAATTTAGGTTGGGTTGGATAAAAACTAATTGGGTTTTATGTTTTTGTAAATATATTATAATTTATAAAAATATAAAAATATATATTTTTATTATATATGAATCCCCACAAAGATTTATGAGGTGAAAAAAATTTCCTATGAAATTTTATAAGAAAAAATTGCCTTCATCCTTACTCTACAACAAAGAGTATTCTCCAAATCTTAATTCTCACGGCAGAGATGCCAATAAAACTATTCAGATTTTGTAGTAAATTACCATCCCTAGTTCTTTATCAAGCATCTATCCCAATTTTATATGGGGCATCATCCAAGAACATTAGACGGTCTCATAAAACAGGAGAAAAGAGAAATCAAGAACGTGGGGGAAGGAGGCTATGAACCCTCTACTGGATAGGTTTCTTCATCTTTGGATCAACTGTCTGCATGTCTTTCTTTGCTATAGGTATTTGCTATAGGTATAGTTTTCATTTATATCTTCTGACTCTAGACATTGTATGAAATAAAAATATATATATAATCTCTTTACTTTTATTAATAAAATTTTTTCTTTTATATATAAAAAAGGGGGTCAAATTATGCTCACTCGAAAGGAACAAATACACGGAAGTCTATAAATAAAAAACGTAGTAAATAAAAGCGTTCTGTGATTTTTTTTTTTTTGGACAAAATGCGAAAAGCATTCTATGACTCGTGATACATTTTTTTTAACACAAAACTATTTCCAGAAGCAGAAATAGAATCACCAGCAACTGAACTCAGAATCCATCTATAAAGACTCTGTTGCAGAAACTGTAGCAATTAACTTGATATGAGTTCCCACCACTTGTACAGACCATAACCATAAATTGTTGTGTAAACAACCACTCTCATCGGGTAGATCCTATACCTGAAATATCTTAATTAATTTTCTCAACATTTTACCATCCAAATGAAGCAAAAACAAAAAATCTGTTGCTTCACGAGATATGTATCCCAACCAAAACTCGATTTATGTTTCGACCGATAAGTTAAATTTTCACAAACTATAATAATGGATCATCTTTTTGGATATGCTAATATATGTGTGTACCTTCTAACTTGATGATTAAAAGAAAGCAAAGAAAACAAAATTAGAACCTTCTTAGTCGAGATCTTTGAGCAAGAGCAGCCAATCTGTCTCTTTCCTCCGCGGTGACAGGGTAGCACCACCGCGAGTAATCTCGACCGAAGAAATCCCAATCAGGCAAAAGCACGCCGGCGATCCCTAGCATGCCGAACATGTACGTAACCATCATCTTCTTAAGGGAGAGCGTCCATATTCCAACGATTACCATGATTACCGCCAAACACACCGTTGATGATCTCAGAGCTGCATCCTCCGCCATTATCGGGCTTATCAATGGTAGAAATTACTCTAGAAAACAAGTTAAAGTTTGAAAAGGAAGATTGGGAGGACTGGGGCAACGTGCCATTCCAGAACCAAGTAGAATGATTTTTTTTTTAGTTATGAAAATGATATATTTATTTTGTAGGCCAATTCTAATGATCAAATTGCGGGTGGAATATAATGCAGCCCTGCCAACTGCTTCCTAACTTCTTAAATGTTGTCATTTAATTTTATCTTAAACTAGTTTCTAGTTCTATAATAGAGTAGTGATTACTATAAAAGTTTGTCTAATTTATGTTGTAAAGATACATATTAAAAATGTAATAAATGTATTTTTTTATAATTAATTTATATAAAAAAATTAACTTTTACTTTAATACTATTATCATATAGACAATTTCAATTAATCAATTAATTAAATTAAGATCAATATTTATATTTTTTATACATATTTTTTTTAAACAGTTTTTACAAGGGCCTGGGTCGAACCCAGGCCAAGGGGTTGGGGTAGTGCACCTGAAGTGACTATTGTCACTTGATCCGAAAGGCTCAGTGTATTTTTTATACATATTAATTATAAAAAATATAATAAATATATATTTAATTTATACTTTAAAAACATGTAATAAAAATATTGTTACTATAAT